TCTATCACTTTATTCTTAACATTATACAATTATATAATATATTATATAAAATTGAAAATTGAATATAATATGAGAAATTGAAAATAAAATACAATATTAAACTGAATATTACAATAGAATAAAAATGTATAACATCACTTCATATATAACATGTATATTCTATTTTCTTCTCATTAAACACACTTCTAACAAATTGCCTAATTCGTTCAGGTTATCAGAGATACTATAAGATCTCTCATGAAAATATTATATTAACCTCTGCTTCTCGTATTAACTATGATCTGCATATACAAGCCTTAGATATTTTCGCGTAGACACGCTACCAAAATAGGAAAGGTTTAACGACGAAATGGCGCTGGCAAGCTTTATTATAATTTCATATAATTTCGCTAATGGGGATTAGCCGTTGGCCGGACATAGAATAATATTAAGGTAAAAACTTCCTCGTGCAGCTTTGAGCCATAATCTAGTTTAATACGATCAACCGAGGGAGGATTATTTTTCGGCTACGGATTCTTGTCGGCCTGGTAAGCAGTAAGGAAGGGGTGGTACACGCCTGCCGAGTTATATTTTCGCGGCTAATTTTCCTGCACGCTCTATCTTGAATTACCATAACTTTAGAATTGCCGTCTTTGAGTTTTCTCTTTTTCTTTCCATTTTTCTTTTTTATTTAATGTCGTATTTCTCGATGGTAAGATTTTGATAAAAGAATTTCAAGGAAAGAAAATTGAATAGAAATTAATTATAAAAAACTTTAAAAAATTCAAAGAGTTAATAAAATTATCTGTAAAAATTCTGTATAAATTATAAATTTTACTCGATTTTTTTTTTATATTATTAATCGAAATCAATTTAAATTTTATAAAATTATTTCAGATTTCAGGAATATGTACGCGAAATTGACAAAAAATAAAACAAAAATCTTGTTTTCTTTCAAATTAAAAAATTAAAAAAAAAAAAGACATACAGAGTTTTATCTTCCAATTTTTTTTTAAATCATTAATATTATTAAATTCTCCTATAATATGCTTAAAAAGTTAATTATCAGAAAATCACAGATAATAGATAAAATCGAACTCCCTCTCAAAGAATTAAATCTCAATGATGCGTGTCCCGATTTAAAGTGGAAACGATACACGTCGAAATGTCGCCGATCAGAAGGCTGCGCGACCATTAATATTAATGGAATACCGATAGGATGCGATAAAAGCGATTTAATAGCGTAGTTAATGACATTATATCATGGGACTATTGGAACCCATTAGCGAAATTACGAGGAAATTAGATGTGCCAGGGGCTGACCATACCGATCGTCCTTTCTCAGCTGCATTTTTAACTTATCCTACACGTGCCATCTATATCTAATTTCCGCGGAATCCTCGGTGAAATTATGATGATTTTAGAACCTCTATCGCGTGTATTATCGATGTAAATTAATTATATTGTTATAATTATAATGTTAAAATTATAGTTATATTGTTATATTTACAATAATTATAAAATAACTATATCTTTTGTAAGATTACCATAATCGTGGTCGATTTAATTTCGTGTGTGAATTATAGAGGATACTCGACGAGTTAATTTTATTTCAATAATTTGTAAGAATTTTGAATGAGAAAGAAAGTGAAAAAAAAAACGTTAATTTGGATTTATTTTCCTTTGATTAAGCGAAACTATCAATTACATGTTCAAACAATAAATTTTATTCCATATTTTTTTATTTACTTTTTTAAACGATTTCACTGATTTATTGACAATATACTTGGTACACCTCGAGAATCGATACGAGAATAATATGATAGAGATAATTAATATACAGAAAGTTGGAACATCTGTATATAAATAATAAGTTAATCGACTATATGCCAAGATGATTCTTTTTTTCAAACAACTGAAAATTTATCGTAACAAATATCGAAAGAAATAAATTTAATAACTCGAATATATATAATATTTAATATATATATTAAATAATTAATAATAATTAATAACTCGAATTTTCAAATTTTCAACTCGATAAATGATAATTTTTATATTATCCTGAACATTAAATAGATATATTTCAAGTGGAATATCAGGATTTACAAGAGATAATCGCAAGAATTTTCCGCGCGAGCCAAGGATCATCAGACACCCGATACGGTTCAGACATCGAAAATTGTTTCACGATGAGGATTTTAATATCGCAATCGTCGCTTCCAATATCCAACAACTTCCGTCCCCGACCATTTTGGTCAGCCGCGAGATTTCCAATTAAAATGGACAAAGAAAAAACCAAGTGAAAAGAGAAGGATAGAAGGGTGGCAAGGAAGATAGGAAAAAGTCGAAACAAAACGGACCCGGGCTTATTTCATTCTACTCGATAACAATTTCATCCCCGATATCGCCGG